AACTCGTAAACGGAAGCGGAACGCCTCTCCGAGTCCGGAAATCGAGGACATTATCGAGGAGGTACCCGAGAACGAGGATAGCGATAGTAAGGGTAGCTGTATTACTATAGCGTTACGTAGATAGTCGAGAGTATCGAGGATTCGAGGCTTATACGCAGCTTCACCGTCTGCGCAGCTTCCCCATCAAGTACGTTAGTAATCTAACATGTGGAGATAGCAAGCGCGCGGCCGCTGTGGACCGTAATCTCGCCAGGGCTGAGGTTGTGAATCAAGTCATGGCCTTGTCCACGATCCCACATAGCCTTCGCCCCTGCCAGAAAGCCATCGATGTCCCCGCTATACCTTACTCGTCGGTGCACTGTCAGCTAAAGTACACCTGCAGTAGTGATATGCCTTTCACGACGTACCTTCACGACGTACCAAGACACGTTGCACCACGTCTTGCTAGCAACGGGATGGAAACATGCTCTCAGCTTTTCCCACTCGCCCGTGTCTTTGTAGAAGCGTTCCCGAATGAGCAGCGATCGAATCTGCGCCTCGGCAAGAACGTCTTCCAACGCACCCATCCTCGATGTTAGCGGACTGTCTTTGCGAGAACGTTCTCGGAACAGTGGAACGATGATGAGTAGAAGTACTTCGGATGGGTCCCGCAAGATCCTGCGCGGTTGCTCGGTCCCACTCATTGTCCACTGCGTAGGAATTGGGTCACTTCCCATATCAGAAAAGTTGTGCTCATCTTGTCAGGACTACTGAGTGACAGCGTTGAGTACTTGTCGATATGTAGGACTATAGCAGGAGACCGCCTTGAGGTTTCTCCAAGTCGCCAAAGTTCGAAGTATCTGCCAACGCAACAAGGAGAGGGGATCTTTTTCCTTACCGAACTCTCCATAGTACAATGCAATTGAAGAAGGCGTCTTCAAGCACCTGCCGAGAATCCCTTTCCAACTTAGCTGGCTCTTCCTAGCACACGCTTCCACTGTTTACTTATTCAGCGACTACCGCAACTGCATGTTCGCTGAGACCTCACCGGAACGTTTCGGCATCTTGAACGGAAGACTGAAAGGCTCATTGCGCGATGTCTGCATGACCGCGAAGGACAATGTTTCAATCACTCCCAAACGCTCAGAACAGAAATGAAGTGTGCTCTGTCTCTTTACATCTTCCAAAAAGTAGTGGCGTGCTGCAGCTCGTATTATTCAGCCGCAGGAGCGCAATGTGCCCACACCGATGACATCGTGTTCCACATAAGGCTGCTACCGTTCGAGCAACGATCTAGGGCTGGCGGACGCGGCTGTCTTCGCCTGACTCAGCCGGTCAGGTGCGTTGTTGCTGCTTAGTCCGCCGACTATCACAGGTGCTTAGACATTGCAGGCCGCCGCTCGCTGTCCACTTCTTATGGGATTATTCCTGTATGTGGGATGACACCTAATATGCAATTGGAACCAGCTATCGATAACAAATACCCCGGCTTCCGTATAATAGGGGTATGAGTCCTCGCTGCACGGCCGTCGTTTCTCACGCCGTTGTCGAACTATGGCCGCGAACATCCCAATACCAGACTTGGAAGAGCATAAAAATTCTCCTTGGCTGGACATCATACACGTCTTGCCGAACCCCAGAAGCACATCTCTTGAGGAATATCTCCGTCAAATGGCCATCTTCACCGTGGAGATGCATAACGACCTCCGTCCGTCTGAAATCTTGCAGCTCGCGCCTTTGTTCTGCAGCACAAACTTTCGCGTCGAAGCTGGGTGCCCGGAACAGTATATAATATCTAATTCAAGATCCAAGTATTTCTCCAAGGTCAAACTATTTCAAGCCAGAAATCCTCACTATCGAGCCCGCGCAACGAACGTCACTGTGCACCTCGATGAAGGACGGCGGACTGCAGTATTGATAGGGACGATGGATACATGGGCTCTGATGGGTGCCGAAGATACGCTAGTCCGGCAGAGAGCCTTTGTGGCCCATTGGCGGCGTTTGAGGAACGGAAAATGGCACGTGTGGAAGCTTGAGATCCTGCAAGGACCGGGATGCGAATCGACCTCTTCAATGATTGTTTGAGGAAGATGGCAATGGATTACTCGTCGACAGCATCAGGCGGGACGACCTGTCGCCTCTAAGAGGTAATCGAATTCCACTTTGGGCCTGCTACATCAAATAGTGTTCAAATGTTACCAAGCCAAAAGGAGCATGAATGAGTTACTCGCACATTTGCTCGTCATTATAAGCGACTTCTTGGTCACATCGTCATCTGAAATCGGGTCCACGTCGTCGATGAATGAGAGGTAAAACTCCAAGAGAAACAGGACTGAACAATTTGATCTATTAAACACCAGTTCAAGCATCCTCTGCAAAGATTATACGGAAAGCTGCGCGCTCGATGACAAGACGAGGAACGCTGTTGGCTTGAATCGAGAGGGCCAAGGTGGCTTTAGCAGAAACCATCTCACGTCATGATTGCTGCGAAAGCATTGCCCGCGAGAATCGACGACTGCGGTTCTGGGCACGAAGCTGGGCGTGTTCATTTTCTGCATCAATGATCAACAAACGCTTGATGTTCAAATGCAGAACGCTGGAAGCACTGGCGTCGTTCCTGGCCCAGACGCCGGAGGTAACGAAAGCGATAAGGGCTCGCTACTTTCTCATGATCCTGATGATGACGATGGGGAGCCAGATTGGCTGAAAAGTGATTGAAAGAAGAACGTCTTCAGTAGTCCAAGAAAAACTCCACCAGTCGTACTGTAGATGAAAGAAGACTTCTACAGCTCCTCACGTTCACGACCCGCCATATCCAAATGTACTGGAATCGGCTCGTGGCGGATATGATCGCCATCTCCCTCTATACGGTACAAGTCATCGATCTCCTGCTCATACAACCTCAGAGTCGGCGCCCGTTGAACTGTCCCCTTCCGAGACCTCAGCATTGGCCGATCTGGCGAAGTTACCAACACGTGCGTCTTCGCCAGCCTTGAAGTTTTCGACAACTTCTCGTTCGCTCGCTCTATACTCGGCCAGATCCTCTCGATCAAGTCCCCGATTTTTGCGTCCGCAGGCTCCACTAGCAGCACTTTCTGCCATCTCCCTGTCCCAGAGAGCAACACCGCATTGACCTCTGGCAGCGTAGATAGCTCCTGCTCGAATGCTATCGGATTACACAACTCCCCCGTCAACGTAGCAATGAGATCGTCAGATCTTCCGCGAAACCGCCAGAGGTGCTGGTCGTGCGGGTGTGGACTGAAGAGATCTCTCGGGTGAAATTCCTCGAGATGGGGGTAGACTGTGAAGATTGGTTGGATTTCCTCTGGTTCGTCGTTTTTGATCCAGACGAGCTCGAACATTTCTTCGTCGCTGCCTTTCTGCTTCTGGAAAGTTATGTTTGCGTAGGCGTGTGGTTGGATGTACTGCCATGCGTCTTCGTATGAGTCTTTCCGCGCACGGATTGCGGGCATCGTTAGGCCTTCTGAGCTGCCGTAGAGGTTTTGAATCCGCACGCCAGCTTTCGTGAATGCTCGACCGGTCGCATAACTCACATCTGCGCCGCTGAAAACGACAGCGGAAGCTCGAGAGGTTACGGCGGAGATCCATTCTGGCTTTTTCGCGATCTCTTCTAGGAAAGGTGCAGGAGCGCAGAAAACGTCCATGTCGAGTTGTTGTAGACCTTCGATGATTGTCGGCGTGGACGGAGGGACTCCGGCGAGGGGGCAAACCACTGTTGTTTGGGAAGCGATGGCGTCTATGAGGGCTATCATTATGCCTCCGGAGTGAAAGAAGGGGAAGAGTGCGAACATGGTATTGGATTGGATCTCGGCGATGGCGTTGGAGTAGTTTTCAGGAGGCGGAGCACGAAGTTCTCGAATGAAGGCAGCAGCGGTTTTGTGCGTCCATATCAGAGGTTTTGGCGCGCCTGTTGTGCCTGAGGTATGGACCATGCAGAGTGGCCGATCTTTGAGATCTTGGTATCGATGAGGATAGGGGTAATGCTCTTGTTGTTGACCCAACAGCTCGTAAATGGTTGGGATGCTGATGACAGGAAGGTCATCGCCCGATTTCAACAGGTTCTGTACTAATGGGCCGTGCGGTGGCTGCAATGTCAAGAGCGTCTTGCACGAGGCTGTATCGAGGAGCTTGACGCAATCTGCTTGCACCAGACGAGGAGAAGGAACGAGGATCTATTACATTTGTGAGTTCTTTGTGGCATCTCCGGATGTCATTACGATCGCTCACCGCGTATCCGGCCTTCGCTGCCCCCAGAATCGCAACGACATATCCGATATCGTTGGGCCCAATATATGCCAGCGTCTCGGTATTCTTTCCCTGGCCTAGTTCTTTCGACAACAGCCATGCAATTCCGTTCACAGCATTCGCCAGATGTCGGTATGTGACCTTGCGAAATCCTGCCGCGTACGATGTGAACGAGTTGGGAATCTGGGCATATACGGCATGCGATCTCGCGGCGGCCATGCCATCAACGATATTCGGGAGGAGTTGATCCACATCGTGAATAGCAGTGGGGGGCTTAATATGACCCTCCGTGAAATTTACTGATGCCATGGCGAAAGTAGGTAATCAACTTCGGACGTTGTTGCATAGGATGCTGCGGTTTGTAATTCTATATACTTGAAGCCATGTCACTTCGCGAACTCGGGCAGCACTCCTTGGTCGTTCCGCATAGTGGGCCTCTTAGGGCTTGCTGAGCAAGTCGATGTCTTTTTGGGGTCTGTAGCTAGTGGCATACGCCCTATTCCAGGGGAATACTGGATTTTAGTCGCCAGGGCTGCGTTCGGAATATCTTGTGGGCCTCAGGATGCGTTCCATCCTGTTAGCCCGGCGCGGGACGGAAGAACATGACGAGAGCCATCATGCTGACTTAACGGAAACTTGACTGTTCTTAAAATAATCCTCTCCGCGAGCAACTATCTCTCGCTCTGTGTTTTGCATTTCGACGTAAATATGACGATGCTTTCGCCAGATGGGAGGATCGAGAAAGGCGTGTTGCTACTCCTGGGTGCCGCCTTTCTCTTGCTAACGGTAGGTCTCATTAACTCTATCTAATGGCTGGGAAGCTGACAAGTTTGTCAAGGTGTTTTCAATCTGTCTGGTACGAGCGGCGTACTTCTCGCCTTTGAGCAAGTATCCGGGCCCCAAACTATGGGCTGCGACGCTATTGCCCAATGCATGGGCGAGATACAACGGCAAATTTTTGCCCAAGGTCTTGCAAATGCACCAGAAGTATGGCAGAGTTGTTCGTGTGGGGCCGAATGATCTCTCGTGGATCGACGAAAGGGTGTGGAAAGATGTAAGTGTTTGGCGAAAGTCAGGAGGCCATACTCAGCTCGCCTTCAGCTCTGCCGCTCACGTTACTACGCAGGTCTTCGAACACCGACAGAATCATCAGGAGTTTCCCAAATGGCGTGTGGGTCCGGCCTTGAATGGATACAGAGGTATCCTTAGCTCTGACAGAGAGGACCACTCTCGCTATCGGCGATTGCTATCCCACGAGTTCTCGGCCCAGAGTATGAAGAACCAACAACCTATCATTATGGGTTATGTAGATCTGTTGATCAGAGGACTGCGAGATTGCTCACCACAGGAGCCGCAAGACATGGTTCAATGGTTTAATGTAAGTCCACCAGCGAGTAAAGCTCACCGCCATCTCTAACCCATCACTGCATCTTAAGTGGGCGACATTTGATATCATTGGGAGATTGTCTTTTGGAGAAGACTTTAATTGCCTCAGGAACAGAGAGGTATACGAATGGATCACTGCGGTTATGGGAAATGTCAAAGCTGTTTCAGTAACCACCGCCCTGACCCAGCTAGGACTTGGCCGTCTCGCCCCATACTTCGTCTCTAAGGAGTTGGTTGGAAAACGGAGGGCAAATTACGAGTACGCCGCAATGAAGATAGCAGAAAGATCTCAAATGCAAGCCGACAATGACGACTTTTTGGACAACGTCTACCATCACATGGGAAAGAAGTCCGGGATGGTCGAGGGCGAAATCGTGGCAAATGCCTCCAACTTGGTCCTCGGCGGCAGTGAGACAACCGCAACCCTGCTGTCGGGTTGCGCCTACCTGCTGGCCAAGAGTCCGGACAAGCTGCGGAATGTGCAGAACGAAATCCGTACGACATTTGCATCGGAGGACGAGATCGATCTGTTCAGCGTTGTCAAGCTACCTTACACCCTTGCCGTTCTTAACGAGACTATGAGAATCTATCCCCCGGTACCAAACATGCGAGGTCGAAGTGTTCCTTACCCAGGTGATACGGTGGCAGGCGAATGGGTTCCCGGTGGTACGAAGATCATGTTGCCTCAATATGTTGCCGGACGTCTCGCCTCGAACTTCAGACAAGCTGAGGATTTTATTCCTGAGAGATTTCTCGGTGACCCGAGATTCGAAAATGACAACTTTGCAATCTTCCAGCCTTTCTCTGCGGGACCACGCAATTGCATCGGGAAGAATTTGGCGTACGCTGAAATGCGTCTGATTTTGGCCAAGTTCTTGTATAACTTTGAGATCGAGCTGGACGCAAGTTCGTATGACTGGATAAGTCAGAAAGAGTTCACTCTGTGGGAGAAGCCTTCGCTGTGGATGAGAGTGAAAGCAATCGAGCACTAGCAAGAGTTGTATTGGAGGCATGATTTGAGATCACGAATCTATGCCCCAGAGAAGGAGAGAGCAGATGAACAAGCAGAAGATCAAAGCCTTGTTTCTTTTCGGCGTATGTTCCTTTACTTCGGGAAGAACATACGACACAATTCGCGACGAGGCTGCAATTCGAACACCTCGAGCGATTTTTCAAGCTGCTCTGGTTGAAAGCACATACGAATCGCTCCGCGAAGAGTCTGCAGCGATCTGCCAGCTGAAGTCACTTAACACGCAGTTGAGAGACGCACATTTACCGCGCACGATTTTTCACAGCCTTCCCGTATTGGCAGAAAGGGAGCACGGCATCAACTCACTGCGACGGGTGGGGAACTGGGGAATTGGCGAGAGACTGGCTGCTGTACTTGATCTTCTTGCTTGATTTCAAAGTAGTCGCATTGGATACATCCCAGCTGTATCATATGTATCGGCTGAGGTGGAAAGAACAGCGGTGCATGAGATGCCGCTTGCCAGCAAAGATCCAGAATCATCCTAGACTATCCGGGATCACATAAGCCATCAAATCTGCAGCTCGGCTATAGTCAATCGGCACCTCCACGACCGACAGACCTTTGTGGCTCAGCGCCTTGTCCATGGTACTTTCCAGCTCGTCCGGGTGATTCACCCTGAACCGTTTCCCATCGAACGCTTCGATGAGCTTTACAAAATCCACACCTCCCAGTTTGATCCCGCTGCTCCGGCCATACTTTAGCTCTTCCTGAAACTCAACCATGTCGTACGAATTACTATTCCACAGGAAATGGGTAATGTTGCATCCCTGTTGCGCGGCTGTGCTGAGTTCTTGAGCCGAGAACATGAATCCACTGTCTCCGGAGATACTGACCACTTTCTGCGAGCAAGGCGGATTCTGAGCGAGCGATGCTGCGATCGCCCAGGGCATTCCAATGCCGAGAGTTTGTTGACCGTTGGAGCAGAGGAGACGACGAGCTTCGTAAGCCCTGAAGTATCGCATGATGTACAGATATACCGTGCCCACGTCACACGTGACAGTGGTGTCTTTGGAGACTCGCTCTTGAAGAGCCGAGACGAAATGAAGCGGCTGTATCAGCTGCGAGTCACCCTCGCCAGTGTCCAATGTGTGATGCCATGCGTTTAGCTCGCTACGTAGGGTACGACAGATGTCACTAGTCTCAATAGTGCTACTTCGAGTCACATTGCTGCACAAGGCGGTGATGTTCTCGTAGATAGAGCCCAGCAACTCGACAGTCGGCTTGTAGGTTGAGCAGTACCCGCACCTCTACACGTCGATGTGCACAGTTTTGGCACGGCCCTCTGGATTCCATTGGTTCGTATCGTACTCCCACGGGTCGTAGCCAACTGTTACAATCAGGTCAGATGCAGCAAGCAGTCGGTCACCAACTTGGTTGCGGAAGAAGCCCACGCGGCCGAAGAAGACGCTCGAGGCGAGTTCATGGGGAATGGCGCCAGCTGCCTGGAAAGTCTCGACTACCGGGATAGGATGCCCTGTTAGGAACTTGCGAATAGCTGACACTACCAGCGGATTACTGGCACGTTGGCCAAGAAAGAGGACAGGAAGCTTGGCTGTCTCGATCATTCGTCGTACGGCGTTAATCATATGCCCTGGGGCTGGACCGAACGTTGGAGAGATGTATGCTTCTGGGACGAAAGCTGGCATTTTACAACTGCTTGCCGCAATATCGAGAGGTATGTCAACGACCGTGGCGCCCTGAGGTGAAGTTGTTGCAGTCCGAAACGCGGTCAGGATTGCTTCGGTTACCTGGTCCTCGGTCTCGATTGTGACGACAGACTTGGCCGTGTCCGATAAGATGCTGGTGGCCTTCATCGACTGATGAGTGTGCTTGAGGGCAGCCTTCCTCGGCACAGAGCCAATGATGGCCACGACGGGATCGCCCTCGGTCGTAGCAGTGACGAGCCCTGTGGTGAGGTTGGCTGCTCCTGGCCCAGACGTCGCCATGCAGACCCCTGGTACGCCTGTGATGAGCCCTGTTGCCGCTGCGAGAAACGCTGCGTTCTGTTCGTGCCGACAAACGATCAGCTTGATGTCTAAGAAGCATATGTTGTCAGCTATGAGGTCGACAGAGACAGCTTGGCACATACCGGGATATCCACCAGCTCATCAAACAGAGCATCAATCTTGGCGCCAGGAATGCCAAAGACATATCGTACACCAGCATTGTACAAGCTGTCGACCAACGCTTTGGCCATCAGGTGCTTGGCAGCCATGCTGAAGTTGTTTGATGAGGTCGCCTCGTGGGTATGAATTTCTTTGCGCAGCAATGGCTCCTATCATATCCTACTGTGCGGGAATCTGCTTCGAGTTCATACGTCACATACCCAGCGTCTCTCTGCGCTCGAGGTTGAGGTTTTGCTGTAGGTGAAACCGTACGAAAGCTTCTGATTAAGCATTGGACTTGTGCATGTGCAGTGTCGTCGGCCAGGGCAACACACTGGATTTTCATCGCAAAAGGTCCCTGCATGAGCTCCATGTAGGGTTGTTAGTGCAACGCATAGTCTTTCTCGTCTTGAAACCACCAACCTTGAACGTCATGCCCTAGCAGTTGACACGACGAAGAACAATGACTGTGAATACAGGCCGAACTACCAGGCGAAAAGGTGTGCGAAAGCAAAGGTCATCGAATCCCATTTGCCATGAGCATCCACTTGCAACTGCACAAGATCCGAGACAGAATTGCCATCAACATCCGTCGGCGGCGAGGCTTATCAGGAGCAGGCTCGGATGGAAGTAGGAAAGGCAGGGAGTCTGGACGAGTACCACAACATGAAGAGTCTTGATTCGACTTACTAGTCCTGGAAACTAACAATCATGCTTGGTCTCCAGCGAGCATCTGTCATTGTTTTTGACGAACCGCCCGGAAGGCGGCCATATCTTGGAGAAAAGTACGAGTGGTCTCGCAAGCGTCAGGCTGGAAGTGTCCGTCGTCAGCAATATTCTCAAGCTCTCGTTGAGTCACGACTTCAACGCAACCCGACCTACCACCGACAGAGTATGTGTTGACGGGTTGGACTGCTGAGGATTGCGGAAGAAAGTCGGAAGGGCTTCTTGCCAGCGAGACATCCGATCCGAGGGACGGGTTCAATGGAAGTTGGAGTCTTGGGATTCTTGTTGTCCTCATCGGAAGGAGGAAAATATGTTGTTGTCGTTGCCGCGCGGAGGAGGATTCTCGTGAAGTCATCCCGTCATTCACCCAACTTTTGCCAACGGCTGATGAGTCAGTGCGGCTCGGCACAAGCCGACTTCACACTCTGGAACTACTCCGAGCTCTCTCTTTTCGCCAATCTCACTCACGTCATCGTCGTCGCCAGCATCGAGTTGCCGCGGATACCATTGTCCACGGACAAATTTACCTACGCCTGTTCTACCCGACAGTACGGCAAGAGCACGATGCTATCTCTCACCATGTCTCGTCCGTTGTGTCGCCGCTCCGCCGAACAACCGATATGGTCGTTTGGACATCTAGCCATCTTCTCGAGCAGCACCACTACCGCGGGCATCGGTAGCAAATTTTCAACACGTTGAACGGATTCAGCGGGAACATCGCAAAAATGAGCGTGTAGATCGAGATATTAAACATGCCATTTCTTGGCCTGACGAACCATGTCTCCATCCACGGCCTGATAAGATTCGATATGCCAAGCGACTCGCCGCCTCCAAACTCTTCCCTCGACTTGCTTCTCGCCGAAACAGCCAAACAAACATGGGTACCCTCATGGCAGAGCTCAGCTGGCTGGTTGGAAGAGCAATCCACGACCATCTTGCAGAATCTCGAACCTCCAACGAATCAAAACCCAGGCCACGCCATGATCGACCACTACCACGTCGCAGACTTTCCATCCGATGGAAGCTTGGCCAAATCGATCAAGCCAGTGCAACTATATGGCCGCGACAATTACATGCGTTTCCGGAGCAAGGTTGCTTCCGCCAACCCGGGCCTGCGTCTGGAAGTTGTCGATACGACCTCAAAGCTGGATGAGCCCGCAGGCAAAGCTACGGTCTGTGTCACTTGCCGATTGGTAAACTACACCACACGTTGACATGAAACCCCGCGAAAGCGTCGTATTCATGGATTGGGTCCGGCGGAAAGGCGACCAGTGGGTCTGCGTCAAGTCCAGAGTCATGCATGGGCACAGCCATCTGCCAGCCTTTCCAACAATCTCCACTCCCGACGAGGCAGGACCTTTGAACGTGGAGGGACGCTCACTAGAAGCTGTAAAAGACATATCCACAGAATCAAATACTGGCAGCCCGAGTGAAGAAACGATGTCTTAACACCTGCTCGGGCGGATCATGGAGTATCTTCGTGGGCGTTCTGGGATGTACATAGACTCATACAGATAGACGCATTCATAGAAGCCTGACATTTTGGGAGACCTCCTCGACGGCCAGGCTGTCTTCCCAACTACACTGAAAGTGTTTTGGGCAAATTCTGGTGGCTGACGCAAATCAAGGCAATGAGACTTCAGATACATGTACTGCAAGGCTGATCAAGTGTAGCCTACCGGCTGTGCCAGACCTCATGGGGGAAGGCTCTGAATTCGATCTTGATCTCGATGGGCTCCTATCCGAGTTAGGCTGTCTGATTACGCTTTCGGCACCTTGGTAACAAGCTTGCGCCACACCACCATGCAGAAGATAACATGACGTCGGGAGAGGAGGGCAAGCATGTTTTACCTGACGCATCTTCAGTGTTGTGAGGCATTATTGCATTTCCTTTCGCCCGATATCTCTCACACATCCCGTTCCAGCCTGGCGTCCTCCTTCTCTTCAGCCCAACAACACTCTAATCCGAGCATGCCCCGACAAGCCACCTACGGTGTACAATTTACTTTTATGTGATAAAGGTTGAGGTTGGAAGACACGCGGCTCCCAGTCGTAAGCACTTTCGAGCCCTACCTTGCCAAAAAGTTCATGCACGGTGATCAAGATTGTAGTCTGAGGAAGGAATTGCTTCACCATCGATCTATTCACTCTCCACAACTGCAGTATATGGATGATGGAGAGACCAGCGATGGGGGAAATGAGAATCAACGCTTTCCTCATATTTAAACCTCAGACTGGCGAGCTTTCAACATGGCACCTTTGACCCAATGGAATCGCCTCATTCGATACGTGTCCGCCAAAGACGGTAGCATCCGCTACGGCGAGCCTGTAGTGTCCGACAACGGTGCTGACATTGACAATCTCACGTCAAAAGGGCTGTTGAAGGTGCAAGTATTGGAGGGAGATATGTAATTTGAATCTAGCCTACACAGGGGAGGAAGATCAGGTCAGCGAGCTACTCGGGCCTCTGACGTGGGAAGATGTCCCGATACTTCGCTGTGTCGGAATCAACTACACGAGTCACAGTACGTATCGTTCAAACAATGCCGTCTTGTCGGCGGGACTCAAGAAGCTGACTCCGTGTTTTCAGTGCGTGAGATCGGGTTCGATAATCCAGAGAACCCGACAATGTTCTTCAAGCCATCGTACACCATTACCGACACCGGGAAGCCGGTGCCCATTCCAAAGCTTGGCCAATCATGTCTTGACTACGAGGGAGAACTCACCATTGTCATTGGCAGGGAGGCCAAGAACGTATCGGAAGACGACGCTCTTGACTACGTCGCTGGCTACGTATGCAGCAACGACGTGAGCTGCCGTGACTGGCAGATGGAGAAGAACAAGGCCGGTTACGAGCCTCAATGGTGTTTCTCGAAGTCCTTCGACAAGTATGCACCACTAGGACCGCAGATCGTGAGCACCAAGATTCTCGGCGACGCCAAAGGACTATCCATTACCACGAAAGTCAACCGTGAAGTCCGCCAGAAGAGTAACACCAGTGATCTCTATTTTGGCGTGCGCAAGCTGGTGAGCTTTCTGAGTACTGGTCAGACAATTCCTGCTGGCAGCCTCATCATGACTGGTACTCCCGGTGGTGTTGCGCTGGGAATGAAGCCTTCGAAGCACCTCAAGGACGGCGATGAGGTCGTCGTGGAGCTCGAAGGAATCGGGAAGGCTCGCAACGTTATGGAGTTTGAATAGATCTGAGACTGTGAGCGGGTATTACGCAATGGAAGCCTTTACAATAGGTGCATCATGCTTTATCTTTGTCAAATATGTACCAGTTCCACACGCTCCAGCGTCCATTATGTATAGCTGGCAGCATATCGCGACATCATATGCTCCTGCACCGTGAAGGGCTTGATTTTCCAAGGCCCGGTTTCTTCAGCCAAAGGTCGGATTGTGCAGTCTGGGTTACCGTCCAGAAAGAACGGAATGGAGTATCGATCACCCCCTGACTTGTTGATGACTCGGTGGACTGTACTTTTGTAGGCACCGCCGGTCCAAACATCTAGCATATCTCCAACATTGACAACATATGCTCCCTTCTGCGGCACTACATCGAACCATTTGTTTGAAGCCTGATTCAGCACTTGCAGACCCGATTTGTCATCTTGCAGCAAGAGAGTAATGGCCCCGAAATCCGTGTGCGCTCCGGTGCCAACAAGGGTCTCGTCGTCGCTGTCTGGGTGCGGAGGGTAGTGAAGCAGGCGGAGAGAAGCTATCGGCTCATGGCAGAAGTCGGCGAAGACGGTCGTATCGAAGCCTTTCATGCCAGTAGCGAGAACCCGCATGATGATGAGTGACAGTTGAAGTAGTGCTCCATGGTACTTCAGCAGGGGCTCTTTGAACTGCGATCCAGGAATCTGCTCTTCATGCGGCCATACGTTCGGCTCTCGAAATGGAAGTGTGGACGATTCCAGACCAGCAATCTCGTGTCCAACGAAAAAACCCTGAGCGCTGTCAACACAATGGGCATGCAGTGGGATTTGCTTGCAGTGTTTACGGCTGCTTGGACTCACCTCTTTGAGATCGGCCTGTTTCCCAGGTTCTAGGAACTGTGTGCCGATGACCTCGTAGCCTCGTCCAGGCTTCCCCCGGAGCTTGTGTTTGTCTGCGTCAGAAAGGCTGAAGAATGCTTTGGCGGCCGCGAATGCCTCCTGCTGTAGTGCTCCGGGGACATTATGTCCAACAAGCTGAAAGAAGCCGCTTGTTGCACAAGCATTTCGGATCTGCTCGATGACATCCTCTGCACATTCTGAGTTGGGCTGCCTCAAGTACTCGCTGAGATCAATGGTTGGTACGGTGAATGTCCCTTCTTCGTACGACCCCATGATCGTTGGAGGAGTCTCGGCAAATTGGCAAACGTCAGACCCCAATGCTGAACTTTCACGTATAAAAGAAGAGCATGTTGTGTTTGAGGATGATGCTCTTCTCCCACCCTTTTGGTCGATCAATCAACAGGTCTGCTTTCTTGTAATCGCGCAGATAGAGGCGAGTCCGAGGCCGAGCCGGCGGGCTCCGACAGCTCCAGACGAGGTAGTTGAGACAGGATCGCAGCTGCACAGATCAGATTGGCCTTATGCACCCCACTGGACGATATACCGGGGAACACAGACGGAGCTTCTAGAACGGAGATTGTTCTTGTCGATGGACAGTGAGCGGATGTGGCCGAGCGCCGGAAAGGGGCTGGAACATCGTAGCTACAGAATAGCAAGCTCACGTAATACGTACGATAAGGATCTTCGTACCTACTTTTCGTCTTCAGTATCGACATCAGCTATCTTTGTATATCACATCTAGCGCTGAAACCCCGACTTCTTCGTGGTCGCAACCACGATGCCGAAAGCGAGGGTCCGACACACCTGTACCGAATGCAGCTTGAGGAGACAACAGTGTGACCGGCGCTCGCCGTGTGGACGCTGCATCAAGCGCGGCGTTCCAGAGAGATGTCATTTGCACTGGCAAGGGCAGTACGATCCGGCAAAGCATCGGGTCTACCCTTCGAAGCATCGCCAACTGAGGCCTGAACAAGAACAGTCGTTTTCCATGTCAAGCTTGAGGACCGAGACAACAACGTTGTCCCAGCACCCGGCAGGCCCATCTTCTTCGTCAGGGATGCTGCCTCGTCCAGAGTGTGATAGATCAGCCTCAACTAGCGAGTCTAGCGAGGCTTGGAGATATGCGAGACCCACTGCCTCCAAACCCGGTTACGACTTCACGCCATATCAGCTGGAGCAGCTCCGCAAGATCGGTCCTGAGCCTGCAGGCAATTCCGTCTCGCTACTACCACAAGCAATCTCCGCCGTCAACTATTGCCGCATTGAGGGATTTCTGCAATCTCTACTGCCAAGCGTGGCTCACATTTGGAGGCTGGTCGACTACCATGAGCAGTACTTGCTCTGGTATCACTGCTGCTATCATGGCCCGACGTTCCGATCGGAACTTCAAAGCTTGATCAGGGTGCAGAATGGACAGGAAGTTTTGGATGTGGCGAATCTCGATCTGCAGTGGCTGGCACTGCTCTTCTCTATCATGACTGGGAGCCTGACATGCACCGTTGAGGCTCGAATTCAAGACTGGGGCTTTTCCCAGCTCGAAGTCGCGAGCCTCTCCACGCAATGGTACAAAGCCGTGATCGCATGTCTTGACCACGGCGAGTGGACAGTACAGCACGACCGCCGTTCCGTACAAGCCGTAGCAACATTGACAATGTCCGCTCATGCGCTGGGTTCTTCGGGCGAGCTAGCGGTTCTCCTGGCATCTGCTGTGAAAATAGCACAAAACATCGCCCTGGATCGTCTCGAGTACGACGGTGAAGTTGAGCACGTTTATGGCTCTTCGTCCGCGGAGCAGCGGCACCATGCATTACAGCGCGATCTAGGAAGGAAGCTCTGGTCACAATTATGTGTGCAAGACTGGATGTCGGCGCCATCTGCAAGGAATTACATGATCAACCCGCTGCACTTCACAACCACGAGGCCGTCCAGTCGAGATTATCTTACCATGGAGTTCATTCCGGAAACCTTTCCCACTTACATCAGCTACGGAAACTACCTATTCGACATTGCTAAGTTGGTGGTTCTTCATCATGATGCAACCCTGCAATCCATCACTCCCTTCACGAAATACCAGCAGGTGCTGGAGTACGACAAGAGAATGAGGATTCTCGCTACCAAGGAGATGCCACGGTACTTTCACGTTGTTGAGCCGATAGATTCCTTATGGCCAGAATGGGTCCATTGGGCAAGATCTAGCCTGACGGTCTCGTTCTCTCACAAGATTATCATGATCCATCGCGACTTCATCAAGGCGAGCTTTTCTGATCCGGCGTATACAACAACACGAGTGACGTGTGTTGCAGCAGCCAAAACAATCCTCAGTGAAGCGAGCAAGGCGAAAAGCATGAATGGCCCAATAATCTGGATCGACAAGGCTTTTTGCATCTTGGCGGCCCTGGTGCTCTGTCTTGACATCCGCCACCGCGTGGAGTCGGAACCTGAACTTGCACGGCACGAGTCGCTTGTCAGAGAATGCATCGAGCAACTCAGCTTGTTCAAGAGCAGCGCCATCGCAGTGCAAGGAGTAAAGGTGCTGAGCGAAAGCCTTGCGAACAGCAGCCGCCCAAGCAACCATACACGCAGCGTGATCCAGAATATCGAGGGCTTTGAAATGGGTAGTTCAACTTTGATTTCGAATGAATCGCCGGCACGGGTGGAACGGGGTGAACGCAGAACAGTAGAGATCTTTCCGCCTCAATCGGGACTCAGCAGCAAGGCCTTGCTGGAGTTGTTTTCACTACGATGAAACCGAAAGATTCTGACTTGAAGCCTCCCAGGGAAGTGAATCTAACAAACATGGACAGACCATGCCCGAGGACCATGACCTGAGTGCTGTATTCTCCCCTTTCTAAGGCGCCACTGCGCCCAAGGAAGCGTATTCGCTGCAATTCGCCTGTGCTTGGCACCTAGACCAGGCATATCCGCACAGAAGGAGGGTGGACAAGAAAGTTGTTGATCAGGTCCGCCATGGTTGTGTTTTGGACGCCGTAGCCCAACTCCAACCAGTGCTGGTTCCTGACGCTGGTGTCGTTTATCCACGCATTCGATCCATTGCTGGAAACGATCTTGTTGTATCCAAATCGGTTTCCATATCGTAGAAGAGGAGCCACCCCAAGCTTCTGAAATCCTCTCATCCCCACGATCCCGTATAGAGTGGTAACCGGGTCCCAAGTCTCGCGAGTGACGGATCCGCGAGTAACGTACCATTCGTAAGCTGCAAGCACGGGCGAGTCTGCCGGAGCTCTCTCGAGGACTTCACGACCAGAATAGATGTTGCCGCCGAGCTCGTTTCCCGAGAAAGTGATTGATACGGATCGAGGCCAGTTGGCAAGCACGTACGCAGTGCTCTCAGGATCACCACCTCCGAAGTTGTACTCCCAGCCTGAAGGGTACTGTCCACCCATCACGATCAGCTCGCTGACCTTGGCCTCTAGCAGTTGTGTGCCTGAGAGTGGGCTGATTGAATCGGCCGTCGATCGAAGTACGTCGGCGAGATTGGTGAGGAATCCAATGGAGATGATATGCAGGCTGTGGCTGTCGGCAGCAGCGAGAATCGACCTGTACATGCTCACAGGAGTGTTGGTCTGGAAAGCGTCTTTGACCGCGCCAGGCCAATTATATGCTACTTTGCTGGCATACTCGCCTCGTCTTGGGCTTTTGTCAGTGAGTTCGTGGAGTAGCGGATCCATAAGAACGAGCTTACAAGTACTGCCAGTCGTCGAAGAACGTTTCATTCGTCAGGGGACGAATAGCACTGATCGCGACATGACTGTTCCCAAAGTACGAGCAAATGGCCTGTTCGAAAGCTCAACAACCGCTTGTTTGCACGATATAGGTAAACATACACTGGCTGCCGGCGCACCGTATTTTGAGTGCGTGTTGATTGCAACACCCCTGAGGTCCGCAAGGCCGCAGTTGTGGAGGACATTGGCCACGGCCAAAGCACTAGCGTCATCAACGTCGCCAAATAGGTCTGTGTCAATGATGATGGGCTGCCTCGAGAGCGTTGCAGAGGCTGCGAAAGCGAACTTGGAAACCATGCAAAGAAGGTAGATGGTAGTATGCATGGCGAGTGAACCGTCACAATGCTGAAACGACGGGTCAATGACTTGTTGTCACACCTACGCGCAAGGCCCATGAAGGCTGTCATGGCACATATACCCAGCTCTGGGAACCAGTGCTGTGGCACGGACAGCCGGTCCTGATTTCATCCAATATCGATAGAGGCCGAGCGGAAGACATGTGTTCGAGCTTGACATTCTCGATAGTGTTTTCGATGTTTTGCAAGACCTGGAACTGACAGCCCGGGTGAGATACGATTGGATCATGAAGCTGGTACGAGATATCGTACTGCGTCTCGATAAGCCCGGGATCGCTCATGAAAATCGTACCACGCAACCAGCCTCTCCCTGCTTGTACGGATATCGCTCTCTACACCAGTTCTCTTCCCCTTCGCCTCGCTCCGACATGGGCGAGAAACGCCGAGTGCGAGGACTGCCGTTGTCGAACTTCCCAACTTTGTCATATATACGAGTCGAGACAAGCCGGTGGAGGAAAGCAGACGGTCTTCAATCATTGCAAACACAGACATCTTCCTTCATCTAGATCGCCATGGCGCCTACCAAGTACCTGAACCGGCCCATTCCTGTGATCTCTCTCGCCGATTTTGAGAATCGCATCGACGAAATCGCTCAGTCTCTGTGTGCGGCCGCAGAAGACGAGGGATTCTTTTGCATCACCGAGCATGGAATCTCGCTGTCCTCAGTGGAAGACATGTTCGCCAACTCAGCTCGCTTTTTCTCGCTGCCTGACAATACCAAAGCCGAAGTAGCTTTCGCATCCGATCGCAATGCTGGCTGGGAGAAGAACGCCCAGATTCGGCCATCCACGGGCGTTGCAGATCGCAAGGAGTCTTATCAAATGCAGTTCGGCCCAAACATGGATGGCAAGTGGTTATCAAACACCATATTGCCAGAGTTTCAGTCCTCTGCATTGGACTTCATGCACCAGACTCAGGCCGTGTCTGAAAAGCTCATGACTTGTTTTGCTCGAGGCCTGGGGTTCGACGACGACTACTTCATTCGTGCCCATGATATCAAGAGCCCAGAGTCACAGACAGTGTGCCGCCTGCTTCATTACTTTGAGACACCTATAAAGAGCGTGCGGGCCGGTGAAGAGCTCCATCGTGCGGGAGCTCACACCGATTGGGACCTGCTTACTCTTTTGTTTCAAAAGGAGGGTCAATCAGGACTGGAGATCTGCCCAGGACGTGAAGTCAGTACGTCTTTCGGCCACGGCGATACCTGGACAAAGGTCGAGCCCACCAAAGGTGCCATCATCTGCAACATTGGAGATCTCCTCATGAGCTGGTCGGATGACCGCTTCAAGTCGACGTTCCATCGAGTCAAGGCGCCCACTGAGCCGGATGATTACTACGGCGAGCGCTACAGCATCGCCTTCTTCAATCAGCCGTGTCGAGATGCGCTGATCCAGGGCCCCAAGAAGAAGTACCCTCCGGTTACTGGCGCCGAGTCTACCAAGAATGCGATGAAGCTGTACTACTCGCTGGGCAAGAAGGAAAGAGACACGGGCAGCGAAGGATTTACTCATCGGGGGTTGAGTGAAGTTCAACAAGGCGCGAAGATTGTCAACAGCCTGGCAGCATGAGTTGGAATGGATGTGGAAGAACGTGCGACGACAAACCAGTAGTGTTCGTAGGCCGAGCAATATCCTCACTCTAGTTTTATATCCGGCTCCCTGCCTATCTCTCGTACATCTACCGCAGTAGAAGAGAAGCGTCGAGTAGCGACCCCTCGTTTAAAAAGTAAGTCTAACTCTCCTACTATCCGACCTTTTAGCTTAGGTATATAGAGGTACGTAAAAACTGTACCTAAGGTATAGAATCTACTCTAAAAGAGTCCTAAAGCTACGCCCTAATTCTACGCTAATAGATTAAGCTAGTATAGTATAATAACGTTCGCTATTACGTTAATAATAGCGTAGCTAAAGTATATAATAACTACTAACTTATTATAAAGGAGTAATAAAAGAAGCTTAGAGACTAAAGTATATAGTACTAGTAAAATAGCTAGGTTAGTAATAAAAGAGAAAAGTAGTAGTAGTATACTAATTACTTAAGTAAAATCTATATTAGATATTAAATATTAAAAATCCTAGAATAGAGATATTAAAAAGTTAGATAAGTACTAATCTATATAATATATATAGGCGTATATTATACTTATAGTATATAAAAATAGAGAAAATAGAAGTTTATTCTTTTATTAATTAAGTAATAGATTAATAGAGTTCTATATATTACTATAACTCCTTTTATAGTTTAAACTTCTCTACTTTAAAGTTATAATCTATAGAACCTAAAATATATAATAGTTAACTTTACTAGCGACTCGCTTATATCTCTAGTATAACCTATATTTCTAAACTTAAAAAAGTAATTTAAAAATAACTCTATAGTATAATAGCTAGAAGTATAAACTTTACGTAAATAGTAGGATAAATTATTACGCTAGAATAAAGTATATAAACTACGTAAAAAAATAGTATATTTAAACTATATTTAGTAGCCTAACTTTCTACTAGTTTCTTTTTCTATATAAAAAAAAGCTCTAACTAGTTAGTTTCCTAGTAATAAACTACTTATATTATATATATAAACTCCTACTAGCTAGCTAGTACTAAAAACTAGTTATTCTATTTATAATAGTTTCTATAATAATAATAAAAATAGTATAGTTAGTATATATTTAATAGTCGCTTTATATAGAAGTCGCCCTAAACTATATAAACTAATAATATTTAAAAATTATACTAAGTTAAAACTACTCTATAAAGTTTATATAAGTATTAAATATAGTAGAAGTAACTAAATTAATAAATAATAGTAGGAACTAATTTAGATATAATTATATTAGTTAGTTATAAGAAGTAGAAGAACTAAAGTAAAATAAGCTCTTTTTAGTTATATAACTTTTAGTATTAATATTTTAGGTATCTATTTTAGTTTACTTATCTAGACTATACTATTTAATACTTTTACTTAAACTAGTATATATACTTTTAAATAAAATCTAAGCGATAGTATATAATTTAAAAAGATTTTTCTCTATCTAATTAGATATTAGAATCTATTCTACTACTATAGTATTCTATACGTAGCTTCGAGGTTAGAGGTTAGAAGCGTATTTTAATTCTTTTTTTTAAAAAAATAGTATATCTTGTAGCCTATATCGAGTTATCTATTCTTTATATAAATGAAGTATATCTAGTCGCTTATTATTGTACAAAATACGTTTAAAGTTAACGCTTAAAAGTATAGACTCGCTTCTTTAGATTACGCCCGAGAGACCCTTTATTACGCGCTAAGGCTTTTCTCTATATATATTCTATAAGCTCTCCCTCTTTA